AAAACGTTATATGTTGTAACCCTACAAAAGTACGTTAGGTGTCCTATATATTTTTTAAATTATAAATTTTTTAACGTATATGTATTAAATGAAAATAATTTTATTAGAAAAATACACACTAAAATTAAAATGATGTATTGTAGCTACCATACACGTGTCAAACGATCACCGGTGCAAGTAATCATGTGACTGTACCCAGGAAGACCATTTACAACCGTTGGATCAACATAGTTCACATGGTAAGACGTCATTCGAGACTAGGAAACCGCCTATATAATAGTACTTCCTGCCTTGGTTACAAAAAGAGAAGGCACGTTGGAATCTCATACACTTGGTTTTCTTCCGATCAGCATAACTCAGATCACCCAAAATCCCAAATCAATTTTTTTTTTGATATTTTGAGGATCCGGTTAGGGAATGCAGAGAGATGAGAGGAGATTCGCGGCTGTCTAACCGTGGGCGGGCTAAAAAATCCACCGGCGGCAGAACTTGCCACCGTAAACACGTGGAGGACGGGTGATTTCACCACTGCCACATCCACAAAGGACAATTGTTATACTTCTAGTGTTGAATTAGATCTGTGTTACGTGTTTTTTTAATTCAACGTAGAATCAGTTTGAGGAATCGATGGCTGCAGAGGACAGAAACAATGGCGTCCTACTCGGAAAGTACGAGCTCGGAAGACAATTGGGGCACGGAACGTTTGCAAAGGTGTATCATGCGAGAAACTTGCAGACCAGTAAGAGTGTGGCGATTAAGATGGTGGGGAAAGAGAAGGTGATTAAGGTCGGTATGACGGATCATATCCAGCGAGAGATTTCGGTGATGAAGATGGTGCGGCACCCTAACATCGTCGAGCTTCACGAGGTTCTGGCGAGTAAATCCAAGATCTATTTCGCTATGGAACTCGTTAGAGGCGGCGAGTTGTTTTCAAAAGTTGCGAAAGGTCGGTTGCGGGAGGATGTTGCTCGGAGTTATTTCCAGCAACTCATATCGGCGGTTGATTTTTGTCACAGCCGAGGCGTATATCACCGAGATCTGAAGCCGGAAAACCTATTGTTAGACGAGGACGGCAATTTGAAAGTGACGGATTTCGGTCTCAGCGCGTTTTCAGACCATCTCCGCCAGGACGGTCTGTTACACACAACATGCGGGACCCCAGCTTACGTCGCACCGGAAGTAATCGGGAAAAAAGGATACGACGGTGCGAAAGCCGATATCTGGTCCTGTGGAGTCATCCTCTACGTCCTTCTCGCAGGATTCTTACCGTTTCAGGACGAAAACGTCGTTGCAATGTATCGGAAAATTCACCGAGGAGATTTCAAGTGTCCGCCATGGTTTTCTTCGGACGCACGACGACTGATAACCAAAATGCTCGATCCAAATGCAAATTCTCGAATCGTCATCTCAAAAATCATGGAATCAACATGGTTCAAGAAGGCGACGCCAAAGAAGCCTAAGTTCTTAGTCGAAAACGAAGACGAATGCATAAATCTAAAAGGCAAGGAAGGTAAGACACTGAATGCATTTCACATAATTTCGTTGTCAGAAGGATTCGATCTGTCTCCGTTGTTCGAGGAGAAAAAAAGAGACGAAAAACAAGAGATTAGATTCGCAACGATGAAACCGGCAGGGGCGGTGGTGTCGAAGCTGGAGGAGGTGGCGAAGGCGATGAAGTTTAGCGTCAAGAAGAGCGGAGACGAAAGCAGTTTGAGGTTACAGGGTCATGAGATGGGAAGGAAAGGTAAATTAGGAATAGCAGCAGAGATCATGGCGGTGACGCCGTCGTTCTTTGTGGTGGAGGTGACGAAGTCGAGCGGCGACACCCTGGAATACAACCAATTCTGCAGCAAAGAGCTCCGGCCGGCGCTGAAGGACATCGTCTGGACGTCACCCGCCAATCACTCCACTCCGGCCTGAATTAAGTCGATTTTTTTTTTTTGTAAATTGTTGGTTGGTTCAGAAATTATTATATATAATATTATGAACAAAATTGTTCCCTGTGTCTCAGTCTGGTGTTCATCGTCGCTTTTGTGTCGTGTCATGTTGAATTAATTATTAAAATGTTTATTTATGGTCCAAATTTTAAATTGTTTCTTTTTTTTGATAAATTCAGTTGCTTCACGGAAATGATAATTCGAAATTCGGAACAAACTTTTCTAAAAATAAATCTGCCAACTTTAGCACTACTGAAAATGATGAGTAAACTATCATTTTTGTCCCGTCGTTTGCTACAAATTATATATTTATTAAATGTAAGGAATATTTTAATATTATAATCGATGTTTTAATATGGTGTAGAAAAAATTATCCCACATAGGAGTCAAAACAAAATGTAATACACCTAATAAACCCTACCCTTGAGCATTAAAAGAATCATTTAATTGCTTGTGTTTAGTGTGTGGTGTTGTTGGTGGGTTCCTCTTGGCACATATATATTAACATGTCAAGATTAGGGCCTTGGGTCTTGGGTCTCGTGGTTAATAGACGGAAATGGAGTGCTCGATTGAGGAAGCACTGGTTCGTGCGGTAGTTATGGTCGCTTATTGGCAGTTTACGAGATGGGTATAAAACCCTTCACTACCTGCGTTTTCTTTTGCTCCCAACAGACACGAAAAACAACTTCATGTATCTATCTCGTTTTTCATTCATACATCCATCACCGATCATACTCTTAATTCGATAGATTCAAGTTCATACTTGAATAGATTGTTGTATCCTCAAGACTTCACCGGTGCAATTTTTGTCTTAGGACACTGCATTTAACGCGGGCCTCAATCGGATTTCTGGAACAATCAGTGGAACAACGAATCTATGACTACAAGTAAGGTCTACGATTACTAGTTATTTTGTTTTCGTATGAAGATACTAGTCAAATATTGCAGTTTTCTGTTTATGTCCAATATATATATATATACATGTTATTGCGTGATATGGTTGCTCTATCCCTAAAAATATTTAAATGGAGAATTTATTAGAGATGAATGTAATACTTTTTGAAATTTTTTGATCCGCCATCTGTGTCGTGTTTGTATAGATAAACATGAAGTTGCCTCGACTTTTTTGATTTCAAATAGATCCACAAAGATTTTGAACATATTTTATTTTTGAAATCTCCATCTTCAACTGAAGCATTCTGTATTTTCTAATTATCCCTAACCAGTAGTCATCAAGAATCCTAATCTTTTATCTTTGGCAATATTTATTAGGACCTTTAATTTCATTACAACGCATCCCTAGTTTTGCAATATAAAAGATTTAAGGCGATGCCTACATGAAACTGTATCTGGGTCCAAAGAGAAGCAGTTACCATTCCGGTTGTTACACCACAATCGATTAAGACCGGTTCTATAGCTGCAAGTCATAATAATACATGGTTAAGATTGAAAGAAAGAAAATGAAATGAGAAAATAGAATAATTGATTCAAGTGTGGTTGCTAAGGCATGTGCTTAAAGGGATGGCTGTCTAGGTTAGAATTGACCTCATCAACTTCAACTTTACCACTTGTTTCTTCTCCTCACATAATTCACATCATCCTAAACACCCCCCAACCCCCAAAGTTAGGTTGAAACTCACCTCCTCTTTTCAAGAATTCTATAATGAGATTTCACATATTTTTACATGGTATCAGAGTCATGATCTATGATTTTAGGGATTTCATATATTTTCACATGATATTAGAGTCATGGTCTACGATTTTAGGGATTCAACATGCTAAGCCTCTGTAACTAGTATATGTTCGAATCCTACATCAATTAGTATTAGATGTTGGAATCTCTTCTCTCTCTTAAATAATTCTTTTACAGAGTAATCTATGGATGTTTTATATATTCTCACAAATTTCAGTAACATCTTTATACATTATCTTTCAAGTTTATCGTTATATATTAGAGTCCGACAAAACTTTCTTATATTTATTTATAAATAATAGAAATTTTATAAAAGAAATTAATAATAAAAAATATATAGGGCCAGGGGGGGCCACGTAAACCATTTGAATTATTGGGTTTGCAAATTTTTGGCTGTGTGAGCTGTTTAGGATGAATGGTGTTTCTTGACCCACATACTTTTACTTTTGAGTTTGAGATAGATAAGACTTCCCTTTTTGTCCCATAATTTTATCTTCTTATAATAATATAATATATTAAGATATTATTTAAATATAACAATTCCCACTTGGTAGGATAGAATCAGATCTAAATTTGAAACATTATAACGATCAAATCACATGTGATTTTATACTAAGTTTATGAGAAAATTATATCTAATTATACAAGTTCTGACTATGACTTAGATTGCAGACCAAGTCGTCTGTACACCCTTATGTTGACCATGTTTTATGATCTCAGTACAAAGTTATATGTGATTTAACTGTTTTTGTATTCTCTTATTTTGACCATGTTTTCGTTTGATCATCTCCTTAGTATAAGAATTTTTTCTAGGGACTTGACACTCGGACAATCTTTACTCGTTTATCCCCTCATCCGACTAGCGTCTCAATGCTCCAAGATTATAGATCAACCGTGTTCGTTTCGCCTCTATTGGAGAGGGTTGAAGTCCCACATCTGTTAAAACTTAAAAGGCTATTTGGTTTGCTTTCCATTAAGACTTATAGTCTGTATTAATAAAGTTATACGTATGATGTAACATAAATTGTCGTTTGATTGTTTTACTGAATAAACAGTCTGGATGTCAGAAATGACCATTTTATTCTCAGTCTTTATTTTTGAACACAATTCTAAACTACTTTATTTCCAAACATATCAAACACAAATCAGAACAAATTCATTACATGATACACAAAAAACCAAATTAACAAAAATTATTCTCTGAATCAAAAGTCCAAAGGAAGAGTTGTTTACGGTCATACCCAGGGCCGTTCCTGAGGTTTTTGATGCCCTGTGCGAAGATGCTAAAAATATGCCCCTATGCCTTTTTCTTAAGCAAATGAAACGACAAAACATACAATTTTACGACGAAAGATACGATTTCATTAAAATGAAAAATACAAAGGGGACATAAAACCAAAACCCCAAATATAAGTACATCA